AGGTACAATGCTCTTTCATTTAAACTATGAAAATATGGGGTTAGTTTGATTTCATATTTTTCTAAACTAAATATATATGTAAATTAAAACGTCCTTCCAAAGCGGGCGACGAGATTTCGATTCTGGTGACCGACAACTTCTTACGGGCAACTCTCTAACCAAAAATAGCGCTGATATATATATATAATGGAGTTGGCGGCTGGAGGTGGAGCTCTGCTACGGTTTCTATGGAGATGAAGATCTGCAGCTGTTGATGGTTGGTGGATGCTGTCCAGGTAGTGTACTAGGTTTTCTTCTCTTCTTGGACTCTTTTGGTGGAGTTTTCTCTTTGACTGAATTTCCTGGGACTGGAGTTTGAAGTTTCGTTACTGTTCATTGGTTTTGGTTTCTTTCTTGTGTGCTCTCTGTCTGTTAAGGTGGGAACTGTTTTCTATGCTCTGCTTGCTGTTTGGTATTCTTGACCTTATCTTCCTAGAGCTCTCTTCTTCTAATTTCTTTTTGAGGTAGATTTTGTACTGCTTCTAAGTTTTTTAGAGGTTGTGTTTTGACTTTACTCCAATTTCTTTCTTTCTTTTGGACCTCTAGATGATGTGGGTGTGGTTGTAACCTCTAATGGCTACACCTATTGATGTCCATACTGATTCGCAGTGGACTAAAGCTACCTATGCAGGTGTGGTGGGTAAAGCCACTAACATTCTTCAAGACCCTGATAAATTAATCTTCCCTCAGGAATTTCATGATGCAGCAGCTGAAAAGGGACCTTGCCCTTGTATACATCCACTTGGATCAAGAGAAGGGGAAACTGTAGTCCTTTTTTCTGATATAGAAATTGCCTCACTTCATGAAGAAGTTAAGTTCACTTTAGTGGGCAAATTCCAATTGGGACACCCCAAAATGAAACTAGTCAGAAACTTCTTTAAATCATTGAATTTCATTGGGCAGTGGAAACTTGGTTTGAATGATGACAGACACTTGCTTATCCAACTGTTAGTGGAGGAGGATTATGCCAGGCTATTTGCTAAACAAGCAGTTGTGATTACTGGTACAACCATGAAAATATAGAAATGGACCGAAGATTTTGATCCAAACAAGGTCCCTTATGGTTTAAGCTGCCAGGACTCCCACTCCCTTTCTTTAAGCTTAATTCCCTTTTTAATATCAGGAGAGTATTGGGCACACCTCTAAGGGTGGACACTCCAACTTTCAACAAGCTTGCCCTGCACTAGCCAAAATCTAAGTGGAAAGAGACATAACTCTCCCAGAAATAAAGAGAGTTTGGATAGGATCTGAGGCTGAGGGCTTTTGGCAGGAAATAGTTGCTGAACAAAAAACCATATTACTGCAAACACTGTAAAATGTTTGGCCATACTATTAAAAGATGTTATGGGCTTCATGCCCCTTCAAGAAGGACCAATCTTAAGAATTCTACGGAGACTGGAAAGGATGCTGAACGGATTACAAACAACAGTGCTGAGGAGGCCAATCGATGGAATCATATAAAAAATATTAAGCAAATTGACAATACACCCATTGCTGAAAAAAATTCCCCACAGAACTATGTCTCCACCTCTTCAGGAAATCCTTTAGGGGAGCTATCTGACTCACAATCCAAAAGCAACAAAGTGACATCCCCAAGAAGATCTATTAGAGCAGAAGTTAATGAGATTACTATCATTACTCCCCCATCTCCTTCCTGTGGGGTAAAGGTGAAGATGTGCAAGATTGTTTACAAAAAATAGATTATGGAAAAATAATAGTGGATACCACTATTACTGAGTTACAACAGACACTTGAAGAAGACTGGAAAATTCAGACAGCTAAAAAGAAGAAAAAAATGGCATCAGAAGTGCAACAACTTCAACAAGGAACAAGCTCTATGATGGCAGAAAAAAGGGTTAAGACTAAGAATGGTTCCCCCTCTAAATAATGGCAGAAGGAAGGGTTAAGACTAAGAATGGTTCCCCCTCTAAATACTATAAAGGCAGAACTAGATCAAGGTCTTAGCCATCCATCCAACTCCCATCAATAAATGATTAATATTCTGTGTTGGAACATTAGGGGTATGGC